GGTTTTTTTTTTTTTTTTTTTTTTTTTTAGCTCCTTCCCCCGCTTTTTCTTTCCTGGTTTGTTTATTTGTTTGTTTGTTTCCCTTTTTTTCCCTCTTCCCTCCTTTCCCCCCCCCCCTTTTTTTCCTCTTTATTCCCGTTTCTTTTTCACCTTTTTTCCTATTTCTTTAGTTTATTCCCTTCCTCCCCTTTCTCCTCCCTCTTCCCCTCTTATTCCCTTTTTCTTTTCCCCCTTCCCCCCTTTTTTCCATTCCCCTATTTTTCCTCTTTTACCCCCCCCTTAGTCTTTTTTTTCCAGTATTTCCTTCTATTCCCTCTTTTGCTTTTTTCTTCCTTCCTGCCCTTTTTCCCTTTCTTTCCTTTCCCTCCCCTTCTATTCCTTTTTTTTTCTTTAATTTACCACTATACCCGGTGCCCCCCAGCACGCCACCCTGCAGCTGGATTTCCTCCCTGCCTTAGTGCCTATAGCACTACTGTAGGAAAAAAAACCAAAAACAAACCCAAAACATTTCCATCCTCTGCAAGCAGCATTCTAGCAAATTCCTTGAACGATTGATGAGAGCTACATTAAATTGTACTGCAGCCAGGGCTGGCCAGAGCTGCAAGCACAGCGCTGGGCTGCCCCATCAGTCTCAGTTCTGATGCTGAGGCTCAAACGACGCCAGCTCATTCTCGACAGGAGCCTGAGCTGCCCAGGAAGGCAGCTGGAGAAGGAGATGTTCCTGTTTTTCCAAAACAACCTTTTAATTATGCTCTTTACTATAATAGCAGCCTTTTTCCAACACTTCAGCAGTCAGGGCTGTTAATTAAAGAGCCATGGTCTAACAGTGGTAATATAAAACCCAGCATCTTTTGGTAGCCCTTCTTACCCTGATACAGAATTTTTCAAGGGAAAACAACAGTTCAGTCAGCACTCCTTGCTCGTGACACAGCAGGCTCTCAGTACCAAACAGACTGGAGAGATTTTGTCTGGTCATAAAGCACTTCTTGTGTGACAGGGACAGTTCATGTGCAGCTACAAACAGACCGGAGAGATGATTTTGTCTGGTCATAAAGCACTTCTTGTGTGACAGGGACAGTTCATGTGCAGCTACTCATGAAAAAACCACTCTGATAAGCAAGGCTGCAAGTCAGGAAAGGGCCTTGCCACGTTCCTGCTGTATTCCCACCACTGTTTGCCCCCAACTGCCCCGGCTCAGGGAGAATGGGACACATCCAAGTGCTCCAAATTCCTGTTTAGCCCCAGCACTGCTCAGGGGATGCTCTGCTGGGGCTGGGACTCATCCCACTGAGTGCCACACTCCTGCTTGGCCCGGGAGTTTGGGAATGAAGCCACCCCAAAGGAGACACAGCTGCCACCCCCAAGGCTCACAATCAATCCATTTCTTGCTCTCTGAACAGAGGCAAGGCCATGCAGGCAGGACAGGGATCAGGTCCTGCTCTCTGGAGGAAGGCCAGGCCATGCAGGCTAAACTGAGAAGCAGCAAGGAGACAGATTGAAAAGGAAACACTGACAGCCAGAAACGTGGCTGTTTCTTTTTCAGGGATCTCCTGTCCAAATGGAAAGCAAGGCCATGCAGGCTAAACTGAGAGAAGCAGCAAGGAGACAGATTGAAAAGGAAACACTGACAGCCAGAAACGTGGCTGTTTCTTTTTCAGGGATCTCCTGTCCAGGTCCCATAGCAATGTTCAGCACTCTGAGGGTGGCACATCCAAACTGGTGTGTAGGGGCAAGAGCCCTTTAAAGCTGTGGAAAATCTTGACAGCACCTGTTCACTTTCATAATTCAGAGATTTATTTCATGTGGGTGCAATGCCTCATCCTTAAATCTAATCTTAGGGAGAAGGTGTAGGAAGAATTCCAACTAATTTCATTAATTCCAGATCAGGGGCTGAAAAAAACCCACTCAAACAAAATTCTAAATCTCTTGAATTTGAAAAACAACCCAACTTTTTTTTTCCCTTTCCCACATTAAGGCTAGAAGGCTGGGTTGAGACTGGAGCCATTATTTGGCTTTGGAACTCACCATCCAAAAATTCCTGTTCAGCCAAGTGCTGAGAACTGGAAAAACAGAGCTGGCTAAACACAGGTTAGAGTCAAAGTGATGTCCAAGGGAATTGCTCACCCCTGGAGTAAGCACAGCCCCAGCAAACTGCTGGTGCAGAAGAGGAATGGAGCTGGGGCTGGTTTTTCCGAGCAGGGGTGTTAGGGGCATGTCCTGTGCAGGCAGCAGCATCGCCCTCCCTCCAGGGCTGCTGCCCTGGGTCTTCCCAGGCTGGTCCAGCCTCAGCAGACCCTGCACAGCCTGGCAGCAATCCTGGCCCACTGAAGCCAGCCACACCTGCACAGATTTAGTCAGGAGGAGGATTTTATGTCTCCTACTTGAAGGTGAGAAATAAAAGGGCTCCGCTCTGTTCTCCCACTCTCGCTTTCCCCCTGCCTCAGTTGTTGCTGCAGCTCCTGCTTTTGGAAAGGAACGCTCACAGGTGCACACACACACCCTTTCTCCAGGCCACTGTGTATTTTCCAGCTCAGCAGGTTATCCAGACGTGTGAAAACTTAAAGCAAAGGCCAATGGCAGCAGCGGGCACGCTGTGGATGCATGTCCTGCAACAGCTGCAGGGGGACAGCGAGGGACAGGGACAGCGCGACCCCTCCACGTGCCAGGAGCCCTCACCCGCCAGCAGCCTGACCTTAACAGAACTGCAGTCCTTGTTAAAAACCACCTTAGAGCACGGCATGGCCTCTCCTCTCTGACAGAAGGGCTGTGTGGCTGTCTGAAATGCTAACTGTGGTGCTTTCTGCAGTGACCTGCAGTCCTCTCCCATCGCTGCCATGCACGGCTCTGTCCTGCCAGCCTGGGCAGCCAGCTCAGGGCGAGAGCCTCTCCACCTCCAGACCATTCTCACCATCCCTCCCTGCTGCTATTAAGATTCTCAATGCGGGTATCTGGTTTCCAATAGTACGAGCTGCTCGGGAAAGGTTAGTTTGTTTTAAATAGCTCAGCCATCTGTCCTGCGGTGCCTGACGGGAGCTGCAGGGACCCAAGCAGCCAAAACAGAATTTTTCAAACTGTCAGTTTCTCATTACAAACATTTCAGCCTGAAACAGACCCGTGTCCTTAAAAAGAAAGTTAAGCCTATATATTTCTTGTGCATTATACAAACACTGCGAGTCGTGCTTCAGCAGTTTCGTGTTGTTGGAATTTCAATGCAAATATTGGGCCTGAACCTCACCAGCACCAGGCACTTTGCAAACCTCATTTGTGTATTTCGAGGCTTTGAACTAAAAAAATACCTCTTTATTACAGGCAGCCACGACACAGAACCAAGAACCAAAACAGAGCAGTAAGGAAAACACTTCGTGAATGGAAATCAGGCACATGGACCTACACTTTTCTGTCACTTCCTAAACGTCACCTGAAGCCCTGGGTTCACCTATTCTAGAAAGTTAAATCAATTTATTCACAGGATTCACTTTCATAATTAAACATTCATTTTGAAGGAAATTATTTGAGAGCATACAGCCAGCTATTTGCAGCAGCTGATACCCACAACTGCTAATACACTGCAGTAAAAATAAAAATGCATGAGAAGCAAGCAGGGTTTCCTTAGGCAAATGCTGCTCCACACCAGACAACCAAGCATGGCCTTGCTGGCACCTACCCCACCATGAAAATGCTGATTTTTCCCCCTGGTACTGCCCTGAAAAAGCCCACACAATCCATTATCCCCTAGGAGTATCCAAAGAGATGAGAGAGACAACAAATATATATTAATCAGAACAACATACCAAAGTTTATTGATTACTTCAAACAAAAGTTTCTGTAATGAAAAAAGAGCAAGTTGCATTCATAAAAGGTAACATTCACATTCAATTTCCTTGATATAAAGCAACATAAATGTATAAAATTGCATTTAAGTGAAAAAAATGTAAGGTTGCAGTCCTTTTTCTTTGCAAGAAGCTGAAAATGTATCTGCTCATTGCCTGTATATAATTTACATTTTCTATACACTACATGGTTTTTTTAAAAAATCATAGCTGGGAAATTGGATAAATGGTGCAGTATTAGGAAAGTTTTTCAACTGTGTGTATACAAATTCAATTTGAAGCTTTTATGCAATTCCAAGTAATTTATAATATTCTCATAACGATTAGGATTAGTTTTTGAAAAGTCGCTATGACTACACCAAGCTCCACTGTTATCACATAAGAGTTTTAGAGGGAATCTCAATTACTGTCCTTATCTTTCAGTGTCACTAGTCAGTGATAAAACTTCAGCAAATTATTATGAGAAAACCCAGCCTTTTTTCCTTCAAGTTTCTCCACCAAGAAGCCTGTACTGACCTTTTACTGTCCCTGACGGGCACAGTGAGTGTGGTGGCACCAGGGAACGAGCACCCACCACAGCACCCTGTGCCACTGCTGCCCTCCAGTCCTCACACCCTACAGCCCCGACCAGCACTTCTTCTGCCCCTCTCTAACCTCAGAAGGGGGCTCCTTCTTCCCTGATTTCACAGCAATCAGAATTCTGCTTTTGCCGTTGCCGAGTGCTGAGGACCAGCTCTTCTGCAGGACCAGGGCAGCCTGGCTGTCCTGGCACCCAGCACTACACCAGTGCACTACCTGAAGATCCAAGCCCAAGAAAAACTGCATTTTCCCCAAAAGAGCTGTATTCAAGACATTCCACCCCACCTGTCAGCACACACACCTTGGGTTGGAACACACAGCTTTGCAAGGGCTTGTTCCAGCTGGAGACAGGACACTTGGAAATGCCAAGAGAAAGATCTGGTTCTCAGAAGGCTCTGTCT